CTTGGAAGAAAAGACTATCAGAGGACCCAGAATTTCAAGCCACTTGTTTACCAGTGTCTGGGAAAGAGCTTGGTGCCCTTAATTTTAATAGCGTGAATGACAACTTTTGTTTGCGTAACTTAATATTTCATACTCTATCTTTTGTTTTAGACTGTTTAGATCTTAGTATCTTGAAGAAACAATGCATTGATTTGCTTTTGTGGCACACTGACAGCCTCAGACAAGAGAGGTTAAGTCTCATCTTAACATTAGCACATTGGATTCATTGCTTTCTCAGATCCATTCCAAAGAGCAGTGTCACTTTAGTGATAGAATTCTCAGCTTCCTTGCAGAACATATGGATTTAATTCTGGGCAAACACACCGTACTTAGTAGAGGCTTGCATGTTGCTGTGGTGCCACAAACTATCCCACCAGTATATCAAATGCCAACAGGGTCACTCATGACCAACAGCTTTCAGAAGAACTGGCAGACAAAGAGAGATTGAGAAGAAAGGGCTGGCAATTTACTTTTGAAAACAGCCAGGAAGAAATCTATGGATTACTAGAGTTCAATTCCCAACTGATCATGAGGTTGGTGAAGTACTGAGCAGCATTTCACTCCAGGATGCATGGGGTTGCCATGACAATAGCAGATAAACAACAAGCTTCATTCCAGTTCTGACGTGGGCTCATTTTGTAAAAATATGAACTGTATATGTATGGAAAGGAATCTTACTTATGTTGTTCCTTCTATTGTCATGTGTCCTTGATGCTATCATATCTCTGAAACTGTGACATGTAGAGAAGTCCAGTACATGTAGCATTCCAAAAGAACTGGCTTGTATAATTCAGTGGAAAACACATTGTAAAAGCTTATCTTTGCCTGGTAGGAGCTAGTGAATTTTTCCAGGACTGTAAATGTCTCCTCTTGAATCAGAGTTGTTTTCTGTGAATTATTTATTGCCTCCTTATTTAAAGATGACTTAACATCCTTCTGCCTTTTATTTCCCAAAGTGACAAAAATTAACTCAAACATGAGATTGTGGTTGAAAAAGTTCTTCAATCCCTGGAAATATTCTCTTATGAACAGATTAGAGTGTCACCAAAATGTGTTCAGAAACAAAGTAGGATGCACTCCCAAATGCATGCATGGAAAAACTTATGTGGTTCATTTAACCCAGTTAGATCTCGCCTGTGAAAAAGTAAAGAAATGAAACTTGAACCTTAGAATCCATAAGGATTGTATTGTAACTACATAAATGGTTTTTTTTTGAAAGGCTATTGGTGAAGAAAAAACCTTATGTTTGCATCTACCAGTGATTCAAAAATGTAAATGCTTGCATTTGGCACTTAGGCCTCTAGGAAGACTCTGAAAGTGAAATATGAAAAGTCATATTACTATGGTTGTATGGGAGCCAAATATGGTGGTTCCCATCAACTTCAAGATACAAAACTGTCCACCCAGATCTCTAAGGAGAAGAACGGTACAGTCTAATCATTGATCTTAAAGATCCCTCTCTCCTATTCAGTTTTTGGATGGATCAATAGTTCTGAAAACTTATGCAACTCCTACATAATAAAACAATGTGTTTGAAAGATGAAATTCAATTAATACAAGATAGAAGAATTAAATTCAATATAAATATAAGACCAAGGAAGACAATGGAATAAGCTCAAACAGATTGCATTATTCCTGATAAAGTTTGGCATATATTCAGGCAAACATTCCTATTCTAAATTTTAGGTGAAAAATGGCTGTGGTGATATCATCGTTAGTTGCCATCTAGTGGATTCTCCAACTCCTGGCAAGTCTATGTGTGCCAAGCAGAACTGCTTCATCAGGTTTTCAAGGTTTCCATGTGCTTTTGCAAAGCACATCACCAAATCTGTCTTTGCAAGTACCTCTGGATTGGTTTGAACCAACTGTTTGGTTAGTAGTCAAACTGCTTAACTTTTGTAATATCCTAGTGTTTAAATTTAAAAACAAAAACAAAACACAGTAATGACCAAATGTTAACTCAGAGGAAAGGTGAGGACACACTTGAAAGATGCACTAGTATAATTTTATTTGAGGAATATTCATTCAAAAGCAGTTACTTCCTTTTTTAGAAAAAAAATGGCAGTCATTTTTATAAAGCATCAACAATCATTTTTAGGGAGCAAAAAATAGGCAAGAAATTGGCTGCTGTATTTAGACACAGATATGTTGTCTTTTTGGATAAGTTACCTCCAACCTTGTAGATCAATATATGTTTTAAGGAAATCTAAAACATAATTTAACTTAATGTGAGAACTGTGTCCTTTGATATGTTGGTTGTAGTTACTTTTTCATTAAGGTTTCTTAGCATTTCAAATCTTTTAAAGGTTTGTTATATGTATTTTTGTTGTTAGTTACCAGGGAGTTGATTCTTCCTCCTGGAGACTCCATTCAGAAGATCACCAGACCTATTGTTTTTTGATGACTCTAGGTGGGTTGGAACTAACATCCTTTTGGTGGTTGTGGTGGTTTATGTCCCATGGAGTCGGAACCGGCTTATAGCAACCCTGTACAGGGTTTCTGAGGCTGTAAATATTTACAGGAGCAGAACGCCTTATCTTTCTCCCATGAACAGCTGGTAGTTTCAAACTGCTGACCTTAAGGTTCACAGCCTGATTCTTTTGACTAGTAGTCAAAAACTTAGCCATTTATGCCAGCCAGGGACTCCATCAAACTTTTAATATAGAGACATTTTGTCTTAAGTAAGGAACCTAAATGCTCTTTTAGAAATAGTGAAATGTATGCCAGCACTATTTACAGTCCTTGAAAAGATACAACAGACATTTAAATACAAATTTTGATCTTCACTGGATAAAAACCATATACCAAACATATTTCATAAGGAAAAAATATTTTTTTCAAATGTTATCTTCTCTCTCTCTCTCTCTCTCTCTCTCTCTCTCTCTCTCTCTGTCTCTCTCTCCCTTCCCTCCTTTTCTTTTTGGAAGGCTAGTGCTTATAACTTTCTTCTTAAAGTAGTGCCTTAGTTTATCTTTTTACCTTTTACATTTCTAGTTTGATTTTTATTGTGTTTTTACCATTAGTGATCAGGTGCCTCCAAAAGTCAGCTGAAGTACTTTTCTAAATTAATTCAGAACTTCCTTTGCTTAAAATGGATGCCCTTTTCTTTAAGTTGAAAATTGTTCTAACAATATATAAATTTTAATTAAACTCATGTTTATACTAATTATTGAAACAAAGCAAAAATCCTAAACATTGATGCTGTATTGTTAGGCATAACATTTGAAGCCTGGAGGATCTAATGCTTATGAAGTTTGCTTTTGGGGTTAGGTATATAACTTTGGATTGTCCATCTATGTTCAGAATTAAAAAAAAAAAAAAGTTTGGGCCTAAAAAAAACCTTCTTTTCTTGGAATGACAAACTTCAAGACCATTTTCTGAATACCAGGAGGATATGGAACAGATGCAAAACATTCCCTATGACTTTCCCCAACTCTCATATTCTGCTTCAATCTATAGTGAAAAATAAGTATGCCTTTGGAAAATAAGTAATATTGTTATGAAATCTAGCATATCTTAGCTTTCTCATCTTTTAAGTAACTACTGTATTCAGCCATGTTGTTGTTGTTATGTGCCGTAGAGTTGGTTCTGACTCATAGCAACCCTGTACAGTGAGGCTATAAGGGAGCAGAAAGTCTCATCTAACTCCCGCGGAACAGCTTGTAGTTTCGAACTGCTGAACCTGAGGTTAGCAGCTTGATTCGTAACCACTATGCTACCACAGGTGGTATAAAAACCCAACAACTAGAACAGCTATAGTAAGGTGGTTATTATTATCATTATTATTGGCCAGCAAGAAGATTAGCCACTGCAAATTCTTTATCTGTAAAATGAAAATGCATATATACTGCATTGGTTTCCTGATAGCATTATTAAGACTGAGTCATATTTTCAAATAACACTCATGATTTGTGGTATAATTATATGAAAATAATTATAGGAATAAAACATTTGGTACCCTGTTTAGATGACAAATTACCTTAATTTTGTTTAAAAATATTTGACTTCACTGACTAATATTTGGACTCCATGAGGAAAAATAGAGTCTTTAATGTGATATGTATTATTTAGATTGTTCATAGAAATAAAATATACATCTCAAACCTTCTTCAGGGCCAATAATTCAATTTCTCCCAAATTTTGTGACTTATTGCTTATTTTTGTCTATAAAACAATATCCTTTATTCATATAATTCAGGCTAGCATTACATAATTGTTGTGCTATGCAAATAAACAAAATACAAACAAATCATATAATGAAGACCCTGATGATATTTTAAACCCCTCCTCTACCCCAAAAATACATATGGGATGGAGGCATAGAAGGTAAAGGGATGAATGAATTAAAACATTTTTTTTTTTTTTGTAGTATGGTGGTGTTTTGCTTTTTTTCTGGAATTCTCTCGATACGTGACTTTTTGTACTTTTTCTCTTTTCAATTTGTCAGCTACAGTGGCATGGTGCCTGCATGTTCTCCTTCTCCCTCCCTGGAGGCTGTGCGGCAATAAATTCGTCTGAAATAATAGCATGTGATCATTCTAGTTACAGCAGTTAATAACTAGTTAAGCGACATTTCCCTCGAATGGCTGTTTTCATCGCCCCAACGCAGTCTCTTTCATCCCATCCCATTCCTTCCCTCCTCTTCAACAATGCCTCAACTTCCTCCTCAAATTTGTAGCTCCTGGTCCCCAGCAAACAATGCAATCCTACAACTGTATTGTCCTCCTAAGCACCTAAGAAGCCAATCCACTCAGGCAAGAAGGATTCAGTCCCAGGCGGGGGCTGGGGGGTGAAGGCAAATTGGAAAATAAATACATGCTCCTGTGTTCCAGAAGGAAATAGAGAACGCCAACCCTCTCTCTTTCTGTGGGTTGAGGGGCTGAGCTCCCCGCAGGTGGGGAGCTGACCAGCGCACAGAGAGTTAAAGGCGTCATCGCAGTCATTAGAGGGAAAAGTTGCAGCGCTGTGAGCCCTGTGAAATCCTCCAGCCCGCCCCCCTTGCCCACTCCCCACTTCTCAAGCTGTCTTGGGGTTTAGGGAGGGCAGTGATCACGCAAGCCGGAGCAGCGGGCTGACGTTGGACGAGCTGCCAGGTAGCTGAAATCAGGCAGCGAAGCAGCAGAAACACTTGCAGCATTCAAGCCTGGGTCTGGACTGGAAGCCTCCCGGAATCCGAGCCAGCTGGTTTTAACCTTCGTGAATTGCAATCCCCGTGTCTCCAAAGCCAGTCCTCGCCAAGCAAGCAGCAGGATGTTTGCAGTGTCGCGCCCAGTGTTCTGAGACAGAGCCTTCTAACAAATGTGTATGCCTTTCTTTTAGGACTTTTTGGCTGCTGGCTACACTGATGTGACCCTCCTCCCCTTTCTGGAATGATGGGGATCTTTTTGGCGTATGTTGGATTTGTTTTCTTTTCCATTTTATATATACAACAAGGGCTTTCTTCCCAAGGTAAGTCTGTGATCATTGGCAAATACACACTTGCCTGGTGTGTGTGTGTGTGTGTGTGTGTGTGTGTGTGTGTGTGTTCTCTGCATTCAAAGAATGGCCAGACAGATGTAGTGAGATTCCTAGCAAGTAACAGTAGATTTAGGTTGTAGGGAGTGTTCTATTTGGCATTTTTCTTTAAAGTTTATTAAATTTTAGGCATGTTAGGTTTGAGACAAACCTAGTTGGTTCCTGGCAGTGGGGTGGGTTCCTGAGTGAGCACAAATGGGCCACCGGGTTCTGTGTGTATGTGTGTACCTTCTGTGTGCAAGCACAGGATAACCACTCTTGCATACATAATCATCGCAAACAAACAGAACTGGGAACTCTGTTGCCAGTCCTTTCCATGTAGGTGGAATGGATTTAGAGTTTCCCTTTTCTTGGTGCCTGTGACTTTGTTTACATATGTGTTTATCAAAGGACAGGCTTCTCTGGGAACCCATAAAAAAGGCACGATTTGCATTAGAAGCAGCAAAAGCCCTTCTTGTAACCGGACTCGCAGGCTGCAGTGATCGTTTCAGTACCATGGACAGATCGCATCGCTGCTGCCAGAAGACTGCATTACCTCTGCAAACAGAAATATCATACTTTGAGCTAAACAGAAAAACCCTGTTCTGATTAGAATGATTCCTAACATCATCTCCCATCCCCTTAAAGCACAAACACAGTTCTGTTGCAATGGATATCATTTTAAGATTTAATAAAATTGGAAAAGAGATACTGATGGTGTCTCACTTTAAAAAGTGGAGGGGATAGGACATACACCCTAAATCAATCCTGCAGTCCCTTATACATTACAGCTGTACATTATACATTATAGCTGTACTGTACATTATAGCTGTACATGCTCTTCACCCACAAACCATTCTAAGATCACTTTTGGGAAATTGTTAGGGGTTTGTAAAGTGTCCCTTAGACAAGGTAAGAACAATTGTCCAAAACATTCCCTCTTAAATAAATGTCTTTGGAAGGAAGGGATTTTTTTGGTAAGTTTCACCATACCTCCATCAAATCTTGCAAATCATAAGTAGCAAGGTTGGTAAAGAAAAACTAGGGTTGGATGGCACTGTAGTGGTTTCAAAATAATCTATTATCCTTACTACACTGGGATTTGAGACTATTGCAATTTAAGATACATAGCTTGATGGGACCAGATAAAATGGTTCATTTAGAGAGAGACATAAACAAGGCTTAGAAAATGCAAGTCGTTTCACTGTTATAGGCTTCCAATCACAATTGTTAATGACTGTTTTTGATGCATCATAAATGTGCATTTTGACAGATAATCATGATACCCTCCCTATTACATGAAACACCCAGTTAGTCATAGCTTGTTTAGAAACTTGGAAGCTAGAGGCTTCCTTCATACATCAACTTGACAGATCATCTAAATTGTACCGCACTGAATCCTTCAGTAAGTTTTGGGGAATACTGCAATCTGACAAAAGGTGTTTGGATACAATTGTGAGCAGTTTCCCTAACAGAAAGGGAGTTTATTGGCAAGCTCTTTGGCATTTCTGTTATCTGGATTTGATCAGCAACAAAGTGATTTAGGCACTAAACCAAAAATGCTACAGGCAAAGGAAAATAGGGTTGAGGAACCCGGCAAAGACCCTCCCCCCAAAAAATGCAGTTGTTTTCTCAAAGAAACATGTTGACAAGGGTAGTGTGTATATACCAAAACGATGCGTTTCTCTTTTGCAGCAAAATTCACTGAGTTTCCACGGAACGTGACTGCGATCGAGGGGCAGAATGTGGAGATGTCCTGCGCTTTCCAGAGCGGCTCAGCATCAGTGTACCTCGAGATCCAGTGGTGGTTCCTGCGGGGTCCCGAGGACCTGGAGCCCGGGGCCGAAGTGGCAGGCTCACAGGTAGTGAAGTCAGTCTCATCGCCCGGAAAATCCCCTGCATCTGCCCAATTCATCCCCTTATTCTCGGGCTGTCCAGCTGGTGTCCGGACCAAAAATGGTGTCTGGGCGTCCCCGGGAACAAGCCCAGCTCTCTTGGGTGAGCGATATCCAAGGATGACAGGGAGTGAGATGTAATTTGTCTTTGTGACACTCAGTAAAGCCACAAAGGACAAACAAAACTGGGAAGCTCCTCCTCCTTTTGGATTACTATTAAGATGCTCTGGGGTATATGACCATGTTGATAACATCCCCTGATCTTTCAGCTACCTTTCCGTAGGGTGGGGTGAGAGAGGGGGGAAATCGTGTCTTTTGGGGTCTCCACCCTCCCACCCCCCCACTCATCGACTGGATCATCACAGCTGTCTGCAGTTAACAGAGATTAGTGAGAGTGGAGGCAGGGTATGGAGCGGAGAGGAGGTGGACTGGAGTAGAGAGAAAAGTGGGGAGGAGGGCAGATGAAAAAGGAAGAGGGAGCAGAGAAAAAAGGCGGGAGGGAGGGGGGCTGGAGGGACCAGACCAGAAGGGAGGGTGAAGAGGAGAAGAGAGTGGGGAGCAGGAGAAAGAGAAAGGAAGAAAAAAAGGGAGTGGGGGAAGGAAGGAAGGGAAGAAGAAAGTGATGGAGAAAGAGAGAAAAAGAGAGGTCATAGTGGACTAGGGAGACTGAGTTGAACGAAAGAGATTTGGGAACCCATGTGACAGGTAAAAAAAAACAAAAAATAATGCAGCGAGAATGGCAGCTGAGAGGCGCCCGTTCCAAAGAAGCAGGAAGTCGTTTCTGGATAATTTTCATCCACATGCACGCCGAAAGCCACCTGGCCTTACTTGCAGACTCTTCCCGGGACCGCCAGCCCTACACTGATCCGGAATATGAGTCTGATCTAAGGTGCGCTCAGCCTCAGGGTTCAGCTCTCCTGTGCAGCCTAAGTGCAGACTCCAAAGACGCGGTCGTGACTGCCACCCTCCAGCAGCAGGAGGGATCGGCCGCCTACAGAGACTGCCTTTCGAGGCTGGCAGCCAAATTTCTAAATCAGAAGCGGATTGTGGATGTGGCAGTGGTCTCTCTTGTTTAATCTTTCCTAAATTACCTCAATTAAAATGTTACGACAGCTGCAAAGACACTGGTCTCCAATGGCTAGCTCTGCTGTCAGGTTTCCTTGCACCTGAGTCAGGAACTCCGAGGGTCTAGGGAAGGGCTCCTGGGCTCCCTTGTGAGCTTTTGTGTCCTTCTCCCGCAGGTGGAGCTCTTACCAGAGAGAGACCCAGACAACGATGGGACCAAGATCAGTGTGAGTATTCACAGGGATAGGTGAAAGGGGCTCATGTCTTAGTCAGGGGACAAGCTGGCCCAAGGTGGAGATTAGTTCAAGAATTTAAGACTTCAAAAATTTGCCAGCAGGATGAGAGCCAGTTTTTCTCATAGTTACCACATTGGTTACAGAAAAATTGAAAAAAATTAGATTTTAGGCAGAGAATCATTTTGCCTTCCAAAGAGGCTGTAGACACTTTTCCTCTCTTAACCGTTTTTAATAGCATTGCTGTAATTAGCAATGGCTAATCAAAATTATAGAAACAATGTTTCTTTAGTGAAAAGTAAATCATTAATAAACACGAATCTTCCTAAAAAACATCCAACAGGATGTTAATAGTCTAAAGACAGCAACCCACTTTAGAATTTCATTCATAGTTCCTAAACCAAAATATATAATGTGTTCCTAAGCATTCAAAATCATATGCTGGCATAAATATGAAAAAGAAAAAAAAACATAATTGGAGGAGGTTAACCTGCTGAAAATACAGAGATATACTTCTACTCTACAGGTTGCTATTTTTAATAATTTAGTATGAAATTGAGGGGGAATCCCAATTATGAAGATCCATTTTTTTAATATGCCTCAAATGAAGCTTCATAGACTCTGTCATTTTATATTAATAAAACTGCTTAACTTATGAATGAATAGTAAACAAGTTCTCATTACAAAAATGATATCATTTTATGAGAAAGGAGAAATAAACTAAGCATTTTTTTAAATCTGAAATGATGTGTACTTAAAACTGGAATGTATTTTGAAGCTCTTACAATATGTAAAGTGGTATAAGATTGGGATTATGACATACCTAAAAGTGTAAAAGCATATTGCATTAATAGAATCAAGTTCTATGATCTCAATGCATAATCTCAACATGGAAGAAAATGTCAAATACAATATGGTATTATAAAACACAAACTAATTTGTATTCTTCCATGCACTGACCTTTAAAAATACTTCAATTTCAGTTATTCTTATAGAAACTGTTGTTTGTATACAATGCTAGAAAAACATTACTGGTAGGGTCAATTGTGAAGATTCATTTTTTCTCAAATATTTCACTTTTCAAGCATATATATTACTGGAAAGATTGTGTGTTGACTAGTCATCTTTTGCCCTTTATGTATTCCCGTATCTCTCACAGGCCAGTAACAAAAATTAGCCTTCCACACCTTGACCTAAAGATTCATAATCACATATATAACCATATACGTAACTTCTAATAGTATAATCTATGCCAATGTTTCATAAGATCTTACTGACTTGAATAGTATTTTATGACATAAATTTAGGTGGACAGTAGTTCCCATTTTGCCTATGACATGACCTTGAACATATCTCCTAAATCAACGGTTCCTAACTTAAAATTCTCTGCAGAGATTTTATAAACTACTGATACTGGCACTACCCCCTAGAGATGCAGATTTAATAATTCTCCATAACCCAAGTGAGAATAGTTTTTAACGGTTGATTCTAATGTATAGCCAATACTGAGAATCACTGATCCAAACTCCCTAAGCCTCGATTTTACTCTACTTTAAACACAAGACATTAATAATATACATACTCTGGCTACTGCAAACTTTATTAGCAGATTCAATTGAGAATATCATTGAAACTACAAATTTCCATTATTTTTGTAGTAGTGGATGGTCCAACCATAGTAAAGTGTTCATTTGTATATATATTTGAATATATATATATATGCAATTGAATATAATTGAAACGACTAACTTCCATTTTTTTGTAGTAGTATGGTGCAAACATAAAAAAGTGTTCATTTGTTTATAAATCTCTACATGTGAGAAACAGATGAACATTCCCTACAATTTTGTAACCATTTATAGCCATTTCAAAGTATGATAGTCAGTAGTAAAATAATCAATGTCTTCTTCACTTTTCTCTTTATTTTGGATTATTAAAGTCTGCACGTCTTATAAAACCCACCAATCTGCCAATTACATATATATATATACATATACATATATATATGTACATTTATGTATATACATATATATGTATATATATACATAAATGTACATATATATATGTATATGTATATATATATATATAAAGTCTAATTGTTCTGATGAATATTTGGGATTTTATATATATATATAAATCTCACTACTAATCAGAAATAAAAACTATTAGAAGAAATGAGTACTTCAATTTATTTTGAACTCAACTAGTTTGCAAAGCCATCAACTAGTGTTTAATTGAAGGCATCCCCAGTGTCAGTGCCTGTGATGGAAGAAGTATAAACTCATAGCCACAGACTTCACTAATATTAATCTTACTACTCTATGATTATAGACAAAAACTGCACCCAAAAATGTTGAAATGAATCATCTCTAATACCCAAGTGTCTTTAGGAGTCTTTCCAATGTGGGGATAAAAGTGCACCCTCCCCTAGACTCCATTGTGATAGTATTTTTTGTGACCTCTCAGAGTTGAAGGGCTTAGTTTTTAGTCTACAGAAGTCAAAAAGGAACATAAACTCTAGATTTGGTCTCATCTAGTTTTGTGCTTCATTCAACTGAGTGAACTAGGCAGTGAGTGATCCCATGATTAGGAAATGGCAGAACTGTTATTGGAAGCTGGAAAATGGGCAGTTGTATCTGGGGCCTGCTACCTTGAACTCACGATCTCATGATTCTGTAAATCCAGTTCTTAGAATAGGATAAATAAAGCACTGCAAATTTTACTGTTAAGAAAACTTTCCTGTTAAGAAACTCTCCTTGACTGTGACTGTGAGGCTGTTCAAAATCAAGTCAAAGCCATTGCATATGTGTTGCAGAGTAGACCTGCTCCCGAGAGTTTTCTTGGCGGCAGTCTTAACAGAAGCATATAACCAGCCCTTGCTTTGAGTTACCCCTTGATGATTTCAAACCACCAACCTTGAAGTTAATAGTCAATTGCAAACCATTTGCAACACCCAGGGACCTGTGAGACCATTGGGGTCCTATACTTTCTAAACATTAACAAGCTCCACACAAAGAATGTGAACAAAAGCATTTGATGTGGCACTTGATTTTTTTTTACCTGCAATTTTTCAGACAGTGAAAGTCCAAGGCAATGATATCTCCCACAAGCTTCAGATTTCCAAAGTGAGGAGAAAGGATGAAGGCTTATATGAGTGCAGGGTGACCGATGCCAATTATGGAGAGCTTCAGGAACACAAGGCCCAGGCTTACCTGAAAGTCAATGCCAATAGCCATGCTAGAAGGATGCAGGCCTTTGAAGCCTCACCCATGTGGCTCCAAGACATGAAACCTCGCAAGAACATCTCCTCGGCTGTTCCCAGCAGCATCCACAGCTCTGCCAACCATCATCGTGCGCACTCCACCTCCAGCCCTCAAGCGGTAGCCAAAATCCCCAAACAAAGTCCACAATCAGGTATGGAAACCCATTTTGAGCCTTTTGTTTTTGTACTCGCAAACCCTCTATAGGAAGATCAGCCCAGCATAGTAAACAGATTGATATGTGACAGGTTTTGAAATTGGAGATTTAGCGCAATTGCAATAATGAGCTATTTGACATTGTGAGCCTGAGGCTGGCCTTCATAGAGGATGCGAGGTTGCTACATTAGTCACTGGCAGTGCTTCCTATGCAGGGCAGTTAAGAGCTGGACTCCCCCACCCCCACCCCCACCCCCGTATTTACACATTAGAAGAACAATAAATCATGTAATGTTGGTTACATTATAAATGCATGTTCATTTTCTCTACAGATTTATGTGTTGATAATGATCCAAATTAAGAGACTTTTACTTAATCAAAATGTAAATGCAAGAGACACACCATCTCATCCGCATTTTCAGTGACCTGTAGCTTTCACAAGACTATTCTCCAAGGGCTTTTGATTTTCAAGGAGAAACTTCAGCTGCATGTGATGAAAGTGATGATAATGGGATAAAGGGAAGGGGGATGAAAAGCAGTAAGTGATGCAGAGATAAGGCAACTCCTGTAAATGGGCCTCAGATGCCAATTTAGAAGCTTAGTCACACATTTCTGAAGTCAGCTGTGCAAGTTAAAGCTGTTCTGAATAGCATTAATTTATGCAATCATTCAGCCAATGGAAACTCATTGAAGTTTTAACCTTGATGTGGGATAAATGTCTTCTTGGAAAAAGCTATACCCTATCCAACCTCATTCCTACTCTGTTTTGTGTTGTTTTGATTTTTTTCTTTTTTCTTTACCAAGTGCTTGACTTACAATAATAGGACACAAAGATCACAAAAATATTAAATTTCTTTTTCTTTGAGTTTTGCCTTCATATTTTAACACTGGACACTCATTTATATCATTATTGGCAATAGAAAATTATACTGCTATACTCAAGGACACTTCAGACATTAAATAAAAATACTGGTCACTTTTTTAGGATGATTTCTTAGTGAGATATATATCTTTAAGTCCTTTCTTGAAAACGATGTTTTTAAAGTAATGTATGTCAAAACCAGTTTCTCCTATGCTTCAAGTGTTCAGAGGTGTAATTTAGAAAACATTCGCTTGGGGGTCCCTCGCAGTTTTCACTGCTTTTCAGTGTAGATAGGCAACTAACTATCCCTGTTTACCTTGTTATACCAATCTGTGAAGCTGATAAGTAGTTGCCTTAGTCTCTCTGAGGCCCAAGTTTCATTGCTTCCTTTTATTGTCCTCTTTATCATCTTTTATTTCCTAAATTAAAGAACAAAGCTAACATACCCAGAATAAATAAATATGCCAATATCCTAGTTATAATTTTGATGAGCCATTATTTAGCAAAGATTTAAGTTATTCAAAGACATTGTTCCTTCTCACCCTTCATGCTAGTTCTTACATGCAAAAGTTTAGATTTGCCTCTGCAGATAATTTTTGACCTAATTAGTGAGAACTTCCAATCATGAAAAGTGAAATGATTAACCTGCATAAAATATTCTAAGCTAGATAGTATAATCCATTCTGTGGAATAAAACCAGCCTACCTATTTCTAAAGAAGGATTCTAAGTAGTAAGTGAAATGTTCTATGTCTACAATTTTCTTCTTTGGTTTTTGGATTAAATAATGTTCTCTATAAAAGAAGTGGACTGCCTGTTGGACTGCTAACCATATGATCGCAGTTAGAATACACCAGTCACTATGCAGGAGAAACAGGAGGCTTCCTGCTCCCAGAAAGATTTGTTGTTGTAGTTGTTGAGTGCCATTGAATCTGGTCTGACTCATAGCGACCCTGTATAGGGTTCCCAAGGAGTGGCTGGTGAGCTTGAACTTCTGACCTTGGGGTTCAAACCAACTTTGTAGTCCAGCACATTAATCCTCAGTGCTATACTAGGATTCCCAACATAGTGTCACTGTGTGTGAGAATCGACTCAGTGGCAGGTGGTTTGTTGGTGGTATAAAGGTAATAATAGTTCTTTGAGTTTTGATTAGAACAAAATGGTAAACTCTATCTTCTAACAATTTCCAAGTTGAAATCACTGCTTATTTTTCACATACCTACTGCCACCACTCCCCTCCCTCTTGAGTATAAAAAGAAAAATTTTTTTTTTTTTTCTGGTGTAAGAGTGTAAGGAGAGAAAGAATGCTGACTCATGAGATTTCTACTTGTTAAAAACCACTTTTATTAAAAACAATTGGCTCATAGAAAAATTAATTTGAAAATTTCAATATATTTCTTTTTTTTTTTCTACTAGTGAATACTGGAAAGCACTTCATATACTTTAAATCTTTTCTAACTTACAGTTCAGAACCTGGAAGGCCTACCCAATTCTATTTACTACACTATTTTCTTCATGTGTAAGCCTCTGCGCTTCCACGATTACTGTATATAATACAACGTCTGGGATGGATATTTACATACTATATTTACTGTAACACCCACATCTGGATTTCTAATATTGCTCTATAATTTTTCAGGTTATCTTCAAATAAAGCTGATTTCAATGCCTACGCTTCATTCATTCATTCATTTATTCACCACTCCATTCCTTCAAGCAGTTTATGTGCCAGGCCTAGTGATACAAAAATGGAAAACCCACTTCCCTTCCTAAAGGAGTTTGTATTTTAGGTCCTGAGAAAATATGTGTAAATTTTATTTGTCATGCATTGTTTTCATCTTACTCAATCCAAGGCAAGACATGGAAAATTCAAATCTTGGTTTCACAGGCCAAGAGCTTGGTTAGTCCTTCATCAGTGTGGCTTTGGACACAAGGAGATATGGTTATCTATGGACTAAATGACATTTTGCTATCAACATATATTAGTGACAACAGGCTTTTCTACTTTGCCTTCTGTTTTCCTCAGATCCTTTGACTTAGATCTTTACAACATCTCCTTTTAAATTATTTAATTCCACCTACATTTGGTAATCATGGTAGTAAAAAATTATAACCAAAATAATGAAGTAAAATGATAATGCAGAAGTGATTAAATATGGATTTCACAATCTTGTAGAGTTTCTTATCACCTATTCTTTAGAATCCTCCTCAGTTTTGTGTACCCAAGACCAATATTGTTCATACCAAAACCCTTTTTACTTATTTACTTACTTGTCTCAATGTATTTATTTATTTTTCAATTTACCAGAAGCTTAGAAAGGGAGAGAACATGCCAATGAATTGTGTGTATGATCTGAGGAGGGAGAATTATATAGCTGGAGAACTCATGGAGGGCACCCTGGAAAGACAGGGAGACTTTACACAAGCAAAGAGAAAAGGGAAAGATCTTTCAAAGTAAAAAAATGGCACCAAGTATAGTTGAACATGAGGAATCACAGGATCTCCACCAGGATGAAGTGGTTTACCTCCTCTTCACAGAGAGAAGAGACAAAGACTTCCTTCAACTCCCCTCCAATACATCCTTCAACTATCTCAATATACAAAACCATTCTCTATGAATTTTCTCTTATATCTTCCAATATTCTCAATGTTATCACAAGTCAAACATCTCCATGTATCATTTCTGTCAGTCATTCTAATGTTCCTCTGCCTTCCATCTCTCCTTTCCCACCCACTCCCCTAGAAACATTTTTTAACAAGTAGTTAAACAACTATGCTTGCAGCCACCTCACTGTGCAGAGTCAGAATTCTCAGCAGGGTATACACCACTGGCACCACTCACCCCATCATCATCCTCAGATGGGCTCTATATGCTCGCTGTCTCTCCTTCCTTGTAATTCAACTCCCTGCAATTCTGTTGGAAATGATCTGTTGTAAGTCACTGGTATCTCCTCAACTCCCAACACTGTCTTGTATCTCATTCTTCTCAGTTTCTCTGAGACATTTGTCCACTCCTCCTCCTTGACACTCTTACTTCTCTTGTCTTCTCAGGCTGGGTTCTTATTTTATTGGTTACTAGTATCCTTCTCTCTCTTTTGTTGACTTCTCATCCTAACTGCCTCTCTTAAATGTATTTCTTCTTCATATTCTTGACTTCCTAATCGTATTCATTTTCATGATTGTGACTTTTAATATTTCTGTAGAAAACTTTCCCATCCACATTTCTAACTCTGATTTCTAAGTGACGATTCAGGCCAGAGTTCACTATTGCCTTTCAAGCATCTCCACATATACATCCCACAGTGCTGTGACAGATTGAAGATGGCGGCATGTGCATTTGTCCTCACTCTGCTCATTAAGTTATGGAACTATTTTTTTTCCCCATGAATCAGGGTTGGCCGGTGATCATTCTGACCCAAAGGGTATCACTCTGACAGAGTAATGATATGCCAATTCCAGGCCTAATTGTGGTTTCTTGGAGGCTGGCCACCACATAAGAAGTAGGACTACCTTGATATCATTTTACTGAGTGAAGTCCAAACAGTGCACGAGATATGTGAGTGAAGACACCATCTTAGCCACCTGGCTACCCCAGCTGTGATCTCATTGCAGCCTGAGAGATCTCAAGTAAACATAGCCCAGCTGAGTCCAACAAACACACAGAACCATAAGTGATCATAATGAATTATTTTTTAAGGCACTAGGTTTTGAGGTTGTACGTTACATAGTAATGTTGTTAAGTGCCATCAAGTCGGTTCCAACCCATAGTGACCCTGGATAGGGTTTCCAAGGAGTGGCTGGTGAGCTTGAACCACCAACCTTGCAGTTCAAAGGGCTTTGAAGTCTGGTGCATTAACCCACAGCGCCACACCAAGAAATCCATGGTGGCACAGCAGTTAAGTACTCACTTGGCTGCTAGCCAAAAGGTGAGCAATTTGAAGCCACTCAGATGCAGTGAGGAGGAAAGATGATGCAATCTGTTCGTGTAAAGATTACAGACTAGAACACTGTCTGAGATAGTTCTTCACATTGGGTTGACTTCGCAGCACCCAACAACAACAAAAAACAGTAGATGCCCTGATCAGACACCCAAAACTTAAAAAGTCAAAGTTGACTCTGTTAGCTTTCTCACCAGAAA